GAAGGAAGGAAGGAAGGAAGGGAGGTGGGTGGGTAAAAGGAGGAAGGAAGGAGGTGGATGAAGGGAGGGAGGGAAGGAGGGAAGAAAGATAGAAAGGAGGGAAGGAACAAGGAAGAAAAAGGTGGGTGAAGAAAGGAAGGGACAGAGGGAGGGAGGAGGTGAGTAAAAAAGAAAGGAAAAGAGGTGGGGGAAGGAAGGAAGGAAGGAAGGAGAGATGTGGATAAAAGGAGGAAGGAAGGAAGGAAGGAAGGAAGGAAGGAGGTGGGTGAAGGGAGGGAGGGAGGAAGGAAGGAAGGGAGGTGGGTGGGTAAAAGGAGGAAAAAAGGAGGGAAGAGGAAGGGAGATGGATGGAGGGAGGAAGGAAGGAAGGAAGGAAGGAAGGAAGGAGGTGGGTAAAAGGAGGAAGGAAGGAAAGTGACAGGAAGGAAGCAAGGAGGTGGGTGAAGGAAAGAAGGAAGGACAAGAAAGAAAATGGTGGGTGAAGGGAGGGAGAGATGGGGGAGGTGGGTAAAAGGAGGAAGGAAGGAAGGAAGGTGGTGGGTAAAAGGAGGGAGGAAGGGAGAAAAGAAGTAGAGGAATATGAGGAAAGAAGGAAGGAAAGAAGAAGGGATGGTTGAGAGGAAAAAAGGAAGGAGTGAACAAAAAGCAGGAGGAAGAAATGCACAAGTGACATAAGTGACAGAAAAGAAGGGAGGATACAAGGAGGTAAGGAAGAGAGGGTGAGGAAAAAGGAAAAAAAGATGCTGAAGTAAAATAAAAGAGGAAACAGAACAAAAAAACCTAAGTGAAGAAAAATCATGAAAAAGTCAGGAAAGAGGAAGAAAATCTACGTCTGCTTCTTTTAGGCCTCGTTTTTCCAGGTATAAATCATAAAAGTTGTTCGGGGAGTTTTTGCAGCAGATATTTTGTATCACCTTGTTGAAAYCTGTGTTTTTGTTCTGTCAGGTGAGGTGAGGTCAGGTAGAGACTCTTTTTAAAAACCAACGTGAACACCCAGCTCACAGACAAGGTTTCTCTTTGACTAATTAAACGACCATGACAYAAAATGAAATAAATGGTGTTTAACAGACAAATATGTGGACAAAAGCAAAGAGACGGTGTGTATTTGCAAAGTAAAACCATGCAAATAAGGCCAAGGAGCAGAGTTTAAAAACACTGATTTAAAMGGAAAATATTTCAGCATTTAGCCGGTGAACATTGAAAGTTTTGTGAGGTTAATTAGCGACGCTGAGATTTATTCAGCAGTTGGACACAACTCCGAGTGAAGGATAATGCTGCAAATTAAAGAAATATATATAAATCCGCCCGCTTTTCAGGTGTTTCAAATGAAGCCAAAACTCTGAAAAGAAAAAAGAGGATTGGTTGTGCCACGTRAATCTGATGAAGGTGGGGGGTTAATGACCGCTGGAATATTATCCTCCAKTCAGAGCTCTCCTTTTTACATCTGGCAGTGAGGGGGGGTTAATTTCTTTTACCTCTCCTCATTAGCATTTACAWCTCGTTATGAGTTTCCTTAATGTTCATCATGATTAATTAAAAAAGGAGGATTTTTAGAGCTAATATACAGACGAGAGGAGCACAAGAAATTATCCAGGTAATATTAATGCTAATTTTATATTAAAAATCGTTATTTAATAGTAATCAGGTTTTTTGAGGATGTCAGAACAGATGCTAAATTTTGGCCTGAAACCAGTATCTAATGGTTTTCACATTTAAATGGCTAAAAACAAGCAAAAAAAATAAACAAACAAACAGGTTTTAAAATTTCTGTTGGTTTTTAAACGATTAGTTCTGAAAAATCCAACATTTTCTTTGGTCACTGAATGCACCATCCACATAGGACGTGAAAACAAACGTGGTCATGATGTAGTGAAGCGACTTTTACTAGATTTAGCCAGTTTTCAGAACCTTCCAGCGCCTTTTTAAAGCAACTAGTGACAAATCTAGATAATTTTCTGGTTTTTGGAGACTTTTATGGGCTGCGTGTGAAAACATGAATCATTCAGATAGCCGGTAGCTGGGCAGTATTGAGCCAAATTTGAAACGTGGGGTTCTGGATTCTTGAAGGACCACAGCACTGAGAACCAGAGCTTAGTTCAGAAGGATGAATAAAATAATTTAAAAAAATCAGTTTTTCAGCCACAGGTCACTTCTTCCTTCGTCACCAACAGAAACTATTCTTTTTACTGCTGTGAAAAGTTAAACACCTGCCACTGAACGAGCTGTGAGGGGTCGTCTCACTTTTCTTCACAGCTGCTTTTTTCCATCAGCTTTTTGCTCGCCTTTATATTGTTCGTTTTCAAAAGGTTGTCTTGGACTGAATGATGAAATAATCTGAAGAGAGAGCCTCGTTATTAAAAGGGATGAAAACGCTCTGCAGAGTTAGATCTGTTGTCTGCGTTTCAGTCGGCTCCTTTCACAGTTTTCATCTTATTTATTAGTAGTAGTGGAAACTGTTTATCTTTAAGCAGAGACTGAAACGAAACAAATCAGTAAGGAAAACTGACAATTAAAAACACATCCAGATTGTTTATTATGAAGGAGTCGAATGAGGCCAAACTCCAGATGAGATTCAGTCTCTGCTTCAACAATAAAGCTCAATATTCTGTTTTTCTCTTTAAACGCTTGTATAAAACTGAGTGGGCACTCCTCTTCCTACTTTAACTGCAACGAAATGTAAAATCCTCAGCCTCCATCTGTGCGCAGCAGTGAAGAACTGCAGAATCAAAAATTAAAACCTCCTACATGTTTTGAGAGACTGTTTGACTCGACTCAAACGTGTCAGCCGAATTATTTCCTCCTTGCTCTGAAGTAGCTGAACCTTTTTCGCTCTCTGAAGATCTCCTTTGTGTGTGTGTGTGTGTGTGTGTGTGTGTGTGTGTGTGTGTGTTAAAGGTCTCTGAAGTCTCGTGTAAAGATCATGGTGGATGGAACTCTGCTGATCACCAGACTCACCCCAGAGGATTCTGGGAACTACACCTGTGTTCCCACTAATGGGCTGCTGACTCCGCCGGCTGCCTCTGCCGTCCTCACGGTGATGCGTACGTACTCTGTGTGTACTTGTATTTGTTACACTTTTAGGACTGTTTCCGATACACACACCTACCTTTTCAAGACCAGTCGTCCTTATGGGGACCAAAGACCGGTTCTATTTAGGCCTCTCACAACAACGATATTTATTGGACGATAAATTGTCTCAGAAATTATCACGATAAATGATAATATTGTTTACTGACCATTTAACTCCCACTKCCCTTCCTCACTTATGAGGATTTATGAAATTTATGTACTTAAAAAAAGTTAGACTGACCTGGACCAGAGATGGTGAGAACACACAACAGCTACATGCCTGTTCTCTAATGCTGCAGAGGTTACCAGACCAATGATGCCAGTTTACTCCTCCCTACGATAAGGAGTAGAAAAGAGGGAGAGACAAAACAAACAAGCAAATATAAATGATCAACCTCATTTTAATTTATTGRTTAAATAATTGATTTATTGTTCATYGCGACAGGTCTWGTTCTAATAYGGTGAAATTCATTTTTGGGTGCGGGGGTCAGTGTTGGGGTTAGGTTTGTACTGTGGGGATTGGGGTTAGATTTGTTCTGGAGGGGTTAGTTTTAGGGTTAGGTATGTATTGGGAAGGTTAGGTAGGTGTTAGACTATGGGGTGTTTGGTTTAGCTTTAGGCTTGTTCAGTCGGGTTAGTTTTTTTCTAGGCAGGTTAGGGTTATGCGTGTACTGGGGGTTAGGATTGTACTGGGCTGTTTGGGTTTAGGGTTAGACATGTATTCGGGGTTAGGGTTACGTATTTACTTGGGGGGGTTAGGTTTAGGCTTTGGTATGTACTGGGGATTAGGGATAGGTATATACTGGGGGTTAGGATTGTACTGGGATGTTTAGGTTTAGTGTTATGTATTGGGGGGTTAGGGTTACGTATTTACTGGGGGTTTCATTTGTACTGGATGTTTTAGGGTTAGGCATGTACTAGGCAGGTTAGGGTTATGTGTATACTGGGGGGTTAGGATTGTACTGGGTGGTTTAGGATTAGATACGTATTGGGGTTAGCGTAATGTTTTTTACTGGGGGGTTTGGTTTGTACTGGACGTTTTAGGGTTAGATATGTACTGGGGGATTACGTTTAGGGTTTGGTATGTACTGGGAGGGTTACGTTTAGGGTTTGGTATGTACTGGGGGTTAGGGTTAGGTTCTTACTGTGGGGTTTGGTTTGTACTGGGAGGTTAGGTTTAGGGTTAGATATGTACTGGGGGGGGGGGTTACGTTTAGGGTTTGGTATGTACTGGGAGGTTAGGTTTAGGGTAAAAGGTGAAAATTAGGCTWTAGAAAGCCACTGAATGGTCTTAATAACAGAAACAAAAATTTGTGTAATCAGTGAGCTAACATGGAAAGGAAAAACCTATTTTATTAAAAAAACCATTAGTTCTAAGACAGTATTGTTAATGTTGTTAAAGTTGTACTTTAAAGTAACTTTGTTTTTCTAACTGTACTCAGACCCAGCCTTGGCTCTTCCGCTGCCCCAGGAAACCTTCCTCCCCACAGGTTTGGGTGGCGTCATCCCCTGCCCGGCGCTGGCTCAGCCTCCCCTCCTACGTGTGGACTGGATAAAAGATGGAGGACCTCTTGATTTGTCCTTGGTAATTCAAAACCGATCTGAAATTGAAGCATATCCACTCACATTTTGGTCGCTCATTAGGTGCTGTAACACCACTATCTGTAATGATTTCATGCACATGGTGGCTGAACCTATATTTTCCTGTTAGCAGAGAGATCCATGACACTGCTGCAGCTGAGTTTGAAGGATTTACCCTCAGTAAATCCAGTTCTCCATAAGGATGATCATTATTTTTTTTAAATGTGCTTTACTTATATTAATATCCCAATTTTTCAAGATGATTATTGAAAAAATGCATGTAGGAGATGAACGATCTTGTATTTTGTACATCTATATATGGATAGGAGTTTCTCTCTGATGGAAATTTGCTCCCTGCTTTTCGGCGCGAGGCCATTCAATCACATACATTTTAATGGATATGGGTAATATGGTCTTAAAAGCTTTTGGAAGCAATCCCTGAGGAATCCCTCACCACTCCCTCRTCCCTCACTTTCTCTTCGATCTTCTGGTCACCTCATCGGGGAGACGAGAGACAAGRGACTTTTTTAAAATCGACACTTTTCCAGATTGGGAAAAATCTCATCTTTTTGATTTCGCTTTCACTCCAAGTTAAAGTTAATATCACAACTGTTGCTTTGAACGTAAAACAAAGCTCTTCCTCCCCACGCAGAGTCCGGCTTTGGTCCGAGTGACGGACGTGTCGGYGCGTGAGGTTTGATAGGTTCCTGTTGCGGGGGTCCGCGGGGGGGCTGGGAGTCAGGCTGTTATTCTGCCAATTATTCCAATTCCACCGCGGTTGTCACAAGCTTGCATTCCCACTGTAATCACAGCTTCAATCCAGGGAGAATAATGGCAGTTTTGACTTCATTAAACTGAGTGGGGGAAACGTTTTAGCATAACACAAGCCTTTCACTGCGGCGTAATGGAAAAGAAAATGACTTTTRCTGCTTTTAATGCCACTTTTCAAGCATTCATCAAAAAAAGTTGTGCATATTCCTCTTATGTGTTTAGATTTACTAAATATTTCAAGCCAAATTCAGCTCTTGTAGYCAAAAAAGATCACGTTTCATGTTATTGTTTTAGAAAAGAGTCTGAATGTAGCGTAAATAAACATGTTTTTGTGGGATAATTGGACGTTGTGGGCAGTAAGCAGTGGCAGAAAATCAGAGACTCTAATCTGCTCCTTTGTGATGTTTGTGTTTTCCTCTCAGTATCCAGGATGGACCCTAAAGGCCGACGGCTCTTTGGTCATGGCCACAGTCAACGAGGACGCAGCGGGTGTGTATGTGTGCACGCCACACAACAGCTACGGCAGCATGGGTCCATCTGGATCAACCACCGTCATCCTGCAGGTGAGTCAGGATCGATTTCATTCTCAGGTTTAAGAGAAACTCCAAACGGCTCTTCTCTTTCTCAGTTTTCATTTTTGTTAACTTAACATTGGTCGTTTAAACGGATGTCTTAGAATCTCGGATAAAAGTTCATAAACATTTTTTCATCCACTAGTTAGAACAGTTGAATCAGAAAGTAAACAAAATTATTATTTTTTAGAAATTCAAATCAAAGCAAATACCAAAAGTGTTGTAAAGTGTTTTTCTTTTTAAATTTAATTTTGAGTAAATCTGCCCCAGTTGGAGTCGAACATAATTTCTGATTGTTTTATATGAAAAGGGTGAAAAACAAATGTGTGGGAAATAAAAAAAAACAGTGAAAAACAAGTCTTTTCATGCATGCAAGAAAAATAATTAATGTTTGCAATTAACAACCTTAGATTTTTAAACATTTATTGATGCTATTGACATGGTTCATCCTGTGCAGAATGGAAAAAAAATGCAAAGTTTTTTTAAATAAAACTTATGAAATTTTGCTTTAGTTAATTTTAACAGTGAACATTTGAATTTAAGGTTTTCAAGTGTTTTTAGCCTTATTGAATATATTTTAAATGGGTTATATACTGTATAATGCAAAAACAAATTTCAGACGAGAAGAAAAATAAAATATTTTTTGTTTCACCCTCATCTGTGAAACAACAGCTGCTTTGCTACACTTCTAATGATGTCCTCTGTGTGTTTGCTTTATTTTCATACTGACATTATTGTGAGTTTCTATGAAACATTCACACCGTTGTGATGTTTCAACAATTCAWACATCAAAACTTTCCTCTCCTTCRGGAAATTCCAGCTATGACWTTTGGTATTTCAGCAATATAAACCTGTTTTTCAGCCCTATTTTTTCCTCATTGAAAATGAATGGAGCTGTTTTCATCCTCCCTAAAAGCTTCAACCCTTTTTACTTTTTGTTCTGCCTCTGATTTTTTTTGTACGTATTTGTGCAAATTTCAGCTTCAATTAGCTTCTGTTATTGATTTTAGCTTTTTTCTGCTTTCTTAGCAATCATTCTGACCTTTTCTGCTTTTTCAGCTAATTTAGTGTTTTTATGCTCATCAGCTAATTTCATTGTGTTTTTAGCTGCTTTTCAGTATTTCAGCTTATTTGAGCTTTTTCAGGTAAATTCATCTTTTTGTGCAGCTTCTTACTGCTTAATTCAGCAAAAATGTAATCATGTTTCTTTGTGCTTTCAGCTGCTTTTAAAACCTATTTTTAGACTAGTTTTAGCTTTTTTTTTTAGCTATTTCAAAAGAAATTGAAAGAATTTCTATTTTTTTGCTCATTTGAAAACGTTTACTCTTATTTTGTCTGTAAATTTTAATGGGTTTCATCTGCTGTTAGCTTCTTTTGCTAATTTTATCTACTTTTTTCTATTTTTAGCCCTTTTTGCTGTTTTTCTATTGATTTTTTTWAACTTTTGTTGTCCTGCTTTCAGCAAAACCAGCTGTTCAAATCTACTGTATTCCAATAAAACAAAAACTTCAAGACTGTTCAAACCTAATTCACATCARCAGTTGAGCTGTTAAACTGTTTCAGCCTTTTCAGCAGCTGTAAGGTTTAATCACTCTGCATTTTCACAGGAAATGCAGTTTCTCTAGCTGAAGTAGAGTTTGTAAAAACTCACTTATGTCCTGATACATCTCAATAACTCAGGTAGAAAAACCTAAAAAAACTAAAGTTTTGCAGGTTTTCTGGATTAATTCTTTGTTGGAGAAGAGACAAAATGTTTCAACAGACGTCTTCAGTCTGAGGAGTTTACCTGAAGAGAAATTAAAGAACAATTACAYGTCAAAGCTTAATTAGATCATATTCTGATGTTAAGGCCAGAAAAGAACAAGAAGAACTAAACGATGAGTTGGATTTATTCCCACAGACCACCACTAAATCCCTCCTCCAGTTTGTCTTTACTGTGCTTTAATTGAACACAACTGCATCTGTCACAGCCAATCAGAAATCTTTACAGGAACAACATTTTATTGACCTTTTTACAGTTGATGTGTTCGGCTCCTCCGACGTTAATCGAAGTCAATTCAGATTACAGCTGAGGCGCTAGCGGGGAGTTAATTGTGTGGCTAATCCTGTTATTATTAAACTAATCTGGACCAAAGCAGCAGTAATCCAGTCTCAGAATCCATTGTTGGCACTGCTGGCGCCTGCTTGACTCGGCTGTGTTTTCCAAAATCACAGGAACCCCCGTCATTCAGCGCCGGTCCGGAGGAGGAGTACAGCCGGGAAACGGGTCGGACCCTGCTCATCCCCTGTCAGGGGAACATGGACTCCACCAACAAAGTCAGCTGGAGCAAGGTAAAATACACGTTTCATTGTTTGTCCTGGAAACTCACAAAAGTCTTACAGTGTTTGGAACTTTCTTGGAAAAACAAACAAAAAAACCATCAAATGTTCCATAGTTAACGATGATGAACCGAACTTCCTGTGGTTGGAAGCATCGCTGCTGGTTCTCTTCACTCCGTCTCTTTACTGGTGCTCCACTAAAGAAAGGAAGGATCGAGYCAGAAAACGGCTTCGCTCCTTGGCTGCTTTCACTTTTCTAACAAACATCTAGGAAAGTGGAAAGGCGTTTCATTAAATGTGAAGAATGACGACTCGAGCAGAGCTAAAACTTTAAACTAGTTATTATTAATAATGAAAAAGAAAAAAAATACTCCAAGGATTTTTGGTTGACTAAAAACCCTCGTTTCCTCAGTGCTTGGCAACAAATATCTTAAAAGTTTATTTCTACAACTG